TTTAAACAAAGTAAAATTTAAAAAAGTAACAAAATAATATAAAATAATCAAACAAACCCATCTCCCCGTCTCCTACCCCACCGCAGAACCTAGAACCCAGCCCTAAAAACCCCTCCCCCTCTTCTCCAGCCTGCAACCCGATTTCTTTTGACCACCACCCATAGAACAGAACCCTGTTCTTTTGGTATTTGTCCACAACTACTCCTCCTCCCTTCCAACCCAACCCACTTGTCTCCCTCTCCCCATCTCTTCTTCTCTCTTCCCCTCTCTTCCTTTCTCTCCCTTCCACACACAAAACCTTGAACCCAGTCGCACCAGCCAACCCAGATTTGAAAACAATTATGGTTTTTCAATTTCAACTCTATCTTTTTTCAATTCTCTCTCTCTCTCTCTCTCACCGTGGGCCGTCAATTACCGAATTTGCACAGAATCACAATCCTATGTTGTGAACTTTGGAGAGGATCTCAATCTCATTCTCCGCGTAGTGAAGGCTTGCTGACGGCGTCGATTGAGATGGGTTGGGGATTTAGTTTTTTTCACTGCCGTTGAGAATGACATGTAAAGAAAAGGCAAAGAGAGCTGGGCTTGTTGTCCATATGTTGGTGGGTTCTTTGAGATTGTGAGAATAAAGCTAGAGAGAGATTGAGATTGAATTAGAGGAGGAGGTGATAAAGGTAAAGGTTATATGAGGTGATGGTGGTGATTGAATGGGTTAGGGAGGTAATCGGAGAGTGCTGTGTTATCAATTAATTTTTTTTTGGATTAACTATACTTTAGTCCTTGGAGGTTTAGTGTTTGTATTGAAATGGGCCCCAAGGTTTCATTTTAATCAATTTCGTAGCAAACATTTCGAAATATTACCAATTTACACCAGCCGTTACATTGTCCATCAAAGTTAGACGTTAACTGCTGACGTGGCAGTCGTGAGACCCATCTCATAACCAAATAGCAATTAGAAAGAGACGAGACCAAAGGGGATTTCGGAAAGAGAAAAAAAACACATGTTTGCCTTCCTTCCCTCTCCAATGCACCGTTCTAAGGTGCTTCAATTACCAAGCTTCAAAAAATCAAGAAACTCTGTTTCTAAGTTGTGTTCGTGTACTGAGACAAACATAGAGGAGAGGGTTTAAGGGTTTGTTCGTGTTTTGGAGTGCAAAAATTTGAAATAGACTGCAAAAATCATACTGAAACGGAGGTTTCCAAAAAATCTGAATAATATGAGTTGGGGACTTCGTTCGGAAGGATATGGAGAACCTTTCTATAGTATGTATGGCTTATTGTTCTAAGGTTCTTGGCAGATGATGTTTTCGAGTGATAGTTTCAAATAGACATCCGGAAGGATATGGAGAACCTTTCTACAGTATGTATGGCTTATTGTTCTAAGGTTCTTGGCAGATGATGTTTTCGAGTGATAGTTTCAAATAGAGTCAGTTTCGAGTTTGGTGTCGAGTGAAAGTTTGGCTTTTATAATGGATTGTGAGTTTCGAGTTAGGTGTCGGTATCACTGTGTCTATTTAATTGGTAGATAGAATGGTGTGAATGGTATGTGGTATGCGGAAGTAAACATTAGCTTTTGTATGTGGTCCTACAACTACTGGGAATCTTACCTTTTGTTTATGTGTGTACTGACATAGAAACCTGCATTTGTATATGTATGTTTGTATTTGTCTGTTTGTATATCTGTATTTGTATGTGTATTTGTATGTGCGTATTTGTAAACAAGAGTACATGAATTTTTTTTTTTGGGTAAAATTGGAAAAATTCATGTGTGGCTTCCAACCTGCAGGGGATGAGGTAGGATTTTCTATTCAAATGTACCACAATGGTGAAATAAGAGGTAACTATTATGTGAATGGGTTTGTGGATTGGTTTGATTATTGTGATAAGGATAGAATGTCAATTGACTGGACCCGTCCCGAATTCATCGGAACTCGAGACGAATCCTGTGGAATTCCCGACATCACCCCGATGTTGGGCCCACTTCTGAGACTATATCCTCTTTTCCCAAAAAGGAATAAAGACATGAGACTTTCTGCCGAAACTTTGGCAGAGTCTCCCCTGTAATTTGAACATTTCCCAGAATTCCAACCTGCATAAAACACATTTAATATCACAACCGGCAGCATGCACAATATAGTTTCAAGCAATTCATATAGCAGCCTCCGGCTTTCAATTTAATCCGCAGCAAAACCACCTACCCAGCTCTTAATTCAAATTATGAAAACAAACCATGCATTTAATGAACTCAAACTAATTTACGCATACCCATCATAATTAACACCGGGTTTTAAACCTAACTTGGCCACAACCACAAATCAACAACATTCACTTAGTCCAACTGAATCATAAATATTTATTCACTCAAGCCTCATTTTCGATCAAGCCTTAAAACCACCAACCAAGTCGATACCAACTCAACCAAAAACCAAACTAACTTTAGTTCACGGCTGCACCTAGGTGGGACCCCAGGCTATCTACGTACCCTTACTAAGGGATCAAGCCACACGCAGTTCTTTCAATGAAAGTCCCGGTTCCAACCACATACAATCAATAACAGTAATACAAAACAACATATTCTACTATTTATCCCTTTCCCAATATAATATAACAACCCTTAATTCATCTCCCTAATAATCACATAATCTCCCCATACGCCGGAACATCCAACGCCACGTATAGGATCTGTCAACACTCCAGAAAATTCTACGCCACGTGTGACCTATTATCTCATATTACATGATCTCCCCATATGCCGAAACATCCAACGCCACGTATGAGGTCTGTCCTCACGCCAGAAAATCCTACGCCACGTAGGACCTAACAATCACATAATCTCCCCATACGCCGGAACATCAAATGCCACGTATGGGGTCTGTCCTCACACCGGAAAATTCTTCGCCACGTGGGACCTAACAATCACATGATGGTACTTACACAGTGTAATCAAACATCTTTATATCTTTATAATATATATATATTAATTTCCAATATTGCATAAACCTCAACCACAATATAACATTCAATAATTCCCTAATTAAAAACAACAAATTAATATCCTAAACCCACGTAATCAACATAACTCAACAACGCTCAAGACCTATCACCAAGGTCATTATAGTCCTCCTAGGAAGGTAAAACTACATCGGAAGACTCACGGTCAACCAAGGGTCAAAGTACCCAAACTTGGTCAATCGGGCCCACGGGACCCCTGACCTCCACATTTTGATCCGAAAGTTCCTATGGGTTCCACAAGGTTTAGAATATATGCCCTACAAGTTTGGTCCTGATCGAACGGTCGGATTGCTCGCGATCACACGATCGGACAGTTATTATAAAACACCAACTTCAAGCTATTAAATCAGAACATCCGAGGTTCCGATCCATGATCCATGAATTCCTACACGATCCTAGGAATGCCTAGATAAACATATAATAAATTCAAGACCATCCAACGGTTCAAACCTATCGAACCCAGATAACACACAATAGGCGGAATCCGTTCGGGGTTCAAACGGTATCCAAATTGAAATCCGAGCATACCTACGCACTCGTGAGGACCAGGAGAATGTGTCAAGACACAATGCCCTTTTTTCTACAGTACCCACGCGTCGGTATCCAAAGCGATAACACATCACCGGAAAAACTCAAAATCACGACTCTAGACTCCTACCCTAGGTGTAACACCCTATTTGGAACCACTTTTGTTCTTTGACATACCCCGAAAAAATGACCGGAAGTGGCAGGAATCACGATCCCAAAACCGGTCGAAATCCAATTCGAAAATCAAGCTACCTACGCTCAAAATTGATGCAATCCTACCCAACCATTAGCTAGATTGTGAAAAATAGGTGAGAATGCATGCCTCACTCGCTGGAAACGGTGGCTGGATGAAGGAGAACGAAGCCAGTGAAAAACTATCAAAAATCGACGACTTCTCACGGCTTTTCCGGTGGATTCCGGTGGTGGCTGACATCGGAGATGGTCGGGAAAGGCTGCTTGGGTGGCGGCCGTTAGAACCCGACCGGTCTAGTGGCCGATGGTACCCTGTGGCGGCGACGACGGCCAAAAATAGCTGTCGGTGAACAGTGGGAGGGAGGGGGTTTGTGCGAACCAGAGGGAGAGAGAGAAACTGTGCGGGGGAGAGAGAGAGAGGGACAGAGAGATAAAATCAGATTTTATCAAACCTTTTTCGCAATATTTACGATTGTGCCAGTGATGGTATTTTGATCATATCTTTTTCGTTACAATTCTGATTCGGGCCCATTATATATCTATGGACTCATTTCGCCATGCTCTATGCAACGGTACAATCTGAATTCCCAAATTCCTTCCTGGTCAAAAAGTCAACTTTAAACCTAATAAAAATATTCTATGGTCTTTTATCTGAATAAATTAATAATTACCAACTTATTTAGGACTGGGTTGTTACATCAATAACTGAGATAAATGCCATGGTCAAGGATTTAAGGCACAAAGGTTTGATTAACTGTTGGTACAGTATTCCAGATGATAGTTTTGATGGTGGCCTAGTTAAGTTGAGTGAGGATACAGATGTCTTAGACATGCTAGTATTTGTGCCAGACACTAGGGTGATAAACATATTCCCAGAACATGTCTTGGCATGCAGTCAAGAGCAGTTTTACAGTCAAGTGGGTTCAAACATATTTATAAATTTGGATGATGAATTTGGGACCAACACTGGGGTAGTGATTCAAGAGCTTGATGACAATTATGGTGCCATTGTTCCAGTGGGTGGGGGAGTATCCCAGGTGCAAAAGGTGAAAAAAAAAACAAGTGTTGTAATAGAAGAGTTGAATGAAGAAGGGTTGAATCAAGAAGCAGGTGGACAAGGCAAAGAGTTGAATGAAGATGGGTTGATTGATGAAGCTTCTAAATAAGGCAAAAAAACTGCCACTGTGAATAATGAGAAGAATTTTGACAATGGCCAAGAAAAGCCAAGTCAGGGTTGTTCTGATAAAGGCAAAGGCAAGGATAAAGACATGTCACATAGGGTGAAGTGTGCATTTGGTAAAAAAAGATGCGGCAGTTTGAGGAGGACAAAGACTGTTCACCATAAAGACAAAGTTGTTCAAGGAAGGGTTGATGGCGTCAGGATCGAGTTTCAAAGGCATTCCATGATGTTGAGAAGTGGAAGAAGATTGGCAAATGCTGTAGACTTTGAAGATGAAAATGATGATGCTTCTGATAGTAAGGACTTAGACTATATGATTCCCAAGAACTTTAGTAAAGATTAAGATGAAGATGATGTTTTTTTTTTTTTTTAAATGAATGGGTGGATGACCAAACTGAATGGATAGGGGTTAAAGAAACTGGGAATGAGGCTGCTCCTGATTGGCCTACAGATGTTGAATTGGATTATGAAGATTCTGAGTGCAAAGATTATGCCAAGTATAATTTTGACGAGGAAGTTGATAAGAATTGGCTAGAGTTCAATGCTGCAACTGACATGGCAGATCCAAAGTTTGAGATTGGGATGTTGTTTAGTGATTGTAAGGTGTTTATGGCAGCTGCCAAAGACTACTCCATCTTGCAGAATAGGGATGTAGTGTTTATTAGGAACGAGGCTTTGAAGCTGAAGGCAGTTTGTGGGGACCCAGATTATGGGTGGATGATGTATGCTTCAAAAATGCAACATGAGAACACATTGCAAATGAAGACATATGTAGGTGAGTACACATGTACACAGCTATGGGAGAACCCTACTGTGAAGTCAACATGGATAAGCAAGAAATATGTTCACACTTTGAAGTCCAATCCCCAGTGGCCAGTCAGGTCATTCAAGCAAACTGTTGAGAATGATTATAATATAGGGGTGTCAAGACAACAAGTGTATAGGGCAAAAGATAAGGCACTAAAGCTGATTGAGGGCAGTTTCAATGAACAATATTCAAGAATTTGGAATTACTGTGAGGAATTAAGGAAGAGTAACTTAGGAACCACAGCAATGGTTAAGTGTGATTTCCAACAACAGTTGGGGCAACCAAAGTTTCAAAGGTTGTATGATTGTTTAGGAGCAGCTAAGGAAGGCTTCAAAGTTGGGTGCAGGCATATTATAGGTTTAGATGGGTGTTTTTTGAAGAGTGTTTATGCAGGGCAACTATTAACTGCTGTGGGTATAGACGCCAACAATGAAACCTGGGTAATTGCTTATGCAGTTGTGAAATCAAAATGCAAGGAATCTTGGATTTGGTTTCTGGAGCTATTGGTTAAGGATTGTCTGATTGTTAATCAATTTGGCTTCACCTTTATATCCGACAAACAAAAAGGTTTACTACCTGCTTTTGAGCAAGTGGTCCCTAATTGTGACCACAAGTTCTGTGCAAGACACCCGTTTTCCAACTATAGGGTGTTTTTCAAAGCAAAAAGCGTCAGAGACAAGTTTTGGGAAGCATTATATGCAACCACTGTCCCCTTACTTTACAAGGGCCATGGAAGACCTGAAAAAACTGTCAAATGATGCATATGAATGGCTAACCACTCCAAATAAACCTCCAAGGCATTGGTCCAAGTCACACTTCAACACTCATTTGAAGTGTGACATGTTGTTGAATAATCTTTGCGAGTCTTTCAATGCTACCATATTGGAATGTAGGGATAGACCAATTCTGTCAATGTTTCAGTATATTAGATGTAAGCTGATGAAGAGAATACAAGGAAGAAGGGACAAAATGCTGACATGGAACAGGTCTATCTGCCCAAGGATATTTAAGAAGGTGGAGGGAAATAAAGCCAATGCATGTGCTTGTGTGGCAATGTGGTCAGGTGGAGGTAAATTTCAAGTGTTAACTGTTGGCCATGCACAATATATTATGGACTTGGAATTGAGAACTTGTTCTTGTAGAGCTTGGGATTTGCAAGGATGGCCTTGTGTTCATGCTATTGCAGCCATAAATTATAAAGAGGGTCTTAATGTCATGGATTTTATAGATGACTGCTATTTGAAAACAACTTACTTGAAGACATATGAGAATCTCATACTGCCTATGAATGGGATGGATATGTGGGATAAGAGTGACTTTCCGCCATGTCTTCCTCCGTCTTACTCTAAATAGCCTGGAAGGCCAAGAAAATGTAGAAACAAAGAACAGGGAGAGCACAAGGGCAAGATGAAGATGAAAGCATTAAGCCACCAAGCTGAAAGTGCATTATCTCGCATTCCCAACACACAGGACTCTCTCAAATGTGGGCAATGTGGTCAAAAGGGGCACAATAAGATGACTTTCCATAGGAATCTTCCCCCAAAAGCCAAACCTGCAACTAAGAGGAAGAGGGGTACTGAAAATACCCAGCTATAACAACTCAATCTTGTTCAATTCTATCCTTTAATAACCCTAAGCTTTTGTTGCTAACTATTGTAGTTTTTATGTTGTAGACCACTATTGATCCATTTGACGCATCCACTCTAGCTGGTGGTCCAAGCACCCTAAAGCAAAGATCCAAGCCTCAAAGGCGTGTGCAAAAAGGGAAGCCTCTGTAAGTAACTTCTCTTCATGAATTTTATTATCAATTTTCTTCAATTTCCAAATAAAAGGTTAACATCCTAATCATTTTGCAGCCAAAACCAAGTAAAAAAGGACATGCCACTTCTGAAGCACAACCAGCCTCAACTTCATGCCCTCAAGCATCAACTTCTGTATCAACTGCAGGATCAAATGTTGTAAATCGAAGCTCATTGAAAAAGCTATTTGATGACTCACTTTTTTTTTGTTAGACAGGCAGTTTGTGATTAGGAGGTTTTTGTTTTTGATAAATTGGTCCTGTATAACTTTAGTGCTGACTTTTTTTTATGGATGTAATGGCATTCACATAAGCCTCAACCACTGTGAATGCAAATACATCCATTGAAACTGCCATTTTGGAATGAATTTGAATGGACATGAAATATGTAAGATATGCAATGTTATTATCTGGCTATTTTGAGCCCATTTTGAATGCAGAATTTTCTGAGTTTTTGGGTTGCCACTTTACTTCATTATTTTGGTCATTCACTTGATTGTTCCAGGTGCATCCATTTTCTAACTTCCCTGCTACATTGTTTTTGCCATTCCATTTTCTACAAATTTTGCCATTCCATTCACTTCATCAAGTTATAAAAAGTCAGCAATTAAGCCCTTAAGCCTTACCCCATAACCCTTAACACTAAAACCCTAAACCCTTACATAACAATTAAACCATTACAAAATGCTACTAACAACCCAAATAAAAGGTTAACGGAATCACAGAATCAACAAAACAACCCACAAACAACACATTCATTCATGGCAGAAGCTAATTCCAAGCTCCTCTTTTTGTTCACTCCACATCCACACATCCTTCCCAAAATGATGCTTGCAAATAGAACCCATGAAGCCACCAACAACACCCAAACGACCTTTTCTCTTTGTCTTGCCTTTGCCACTGACTTCTCCAGCTTATTCCGCGATTTTAGAAGCCCAGGAATCATTGCCTTCGACCGTTCACACATGGCCGGATCAAACTCTGCCCAGAATTGACAGCCCTTAAAACCCTTCTTAGTCTCACGTACCTTTGCTGCACACATGGAAAATCGCCTCCTAGGATTCGAATATGTCCAAAGGGTTCGAATTGTAGCAGCCTTTCCGCACCAACACATCGGCTCCTCTTTATCCATTTTGGCCAGCCAATTGAATCTTCTTCGACAGTTTCCCTCCATTTTTTTCGTCACTTATTTCCTCTCCAAAACATGAACACAACTCAGTTTATGAGTTTCTTCGATTTTTCGAAGGCTGGTAATCGTTTAGGAGCCTTGGAACGCGTGCGTTGGAGAAGGCGACCGTTTGGTTTTGGTTTTTTTTTTTTTCTAAATTGCCCTTCGTCTTGTCTCTTTCTAACTGCTGTTTGGTTATGAGGTGAGTCCCACAACTGCCACGTTAGCAGTTAACGTCTGACTTTGACGGTCAATGTAATGGTTGGTTTAAATTGGTAATATTTCAAAATATTAGGTACGAAATTGATTAAAATAAAACCTTGGGGCCCATTTTGATACTAACACTAAACCTCCAGGGACTAAAGTGTAGTTAATTCAATTTTTTTTTTTTAATATAGATTTTATTGTTTTTTTTAATGTAGAAAGACTTTCATTTTTCATTTTTTCCATTTTTTTTAAATTAAACAAGTAATTACATTATTTTATTATATATTTTATTCCACTTATACAAAAAAAAGTGGGATCTTTACATGACACATCATCACTAGTGGTAAAAATACTAAAATAACCATGCCATGTCATTAAAACTAACAGAGTTATTAATAAAGATGACGGTTGGGGGTAAAATGGAACACGAAACCATGATCAAGGGGGTTAAGTGGGCCACTTTAATTTTGGGGTGGTAAAATGATATTTAACCGAAGTTTCAGAAAGTACTACAGTAAATAAGTCAAAAAAGAATGAGGTTCACCTAACGTTACATGATGAATAAACAGTTCATGTTTTAGATCAATTGCCGTAGAGATATGATAGATTCATAATAACAAAACGGAAAAGGAAAAAAAACACATATCAATTCATAAGGTTTAGTATGTCAAAAATTCCCTAAAAAATATCGAGCTCCTTAAGATATCAACTGTCTAAATTACATGCATTATAGGATGTGATACTAAGAGCAGCATTCGAATTACAAAAACAAATAATCCAACAAAAACAAAAGGACGTTGAATTCTAGTGTGAAAATATGAACATAAATGATGGCATTATGGGCCTAACCTACTGATAGCTTGCCTTCCTGGAATGGGCTTTATCAGTATCTTACATATAATTACAACTGGACCACGTCCTGAGCACATTATTTTTGCCTAAACTGAGTAGGAATAAGTTTATAATAATAAAAAGCTAAGTATGGCCTGATTTCTCATGAACGACAATTGTGTAGATTATAAGTATGGCCTAAATATATTATATAATTAAATTTTAGAGACAAAATAACCAGAAAGTTCTATATATCATAAGGAACAATTATGGGATTTTCAAGGGATTTGGTTCCAGAAAGATATTTATGGAAAATCATTCTCCTATCTTTCTCAGATGATGGAAAGTGAAAGACTCTTTTTCCCGTATTTGATCATGCTGAGAAAATAACCATAGAATTTCACTTTATTCTCTTTACATTACAGCCCTAAATTAGCAATATGTAATTATAAAAACTTAAAATATAACTCATGTTTGCATCGATTTCCAATAGGAATTGAAAATGGAACCCGAGTAGTCATACACTTGCTATTTTGGAAATGGGTTTTGTTTGAATTTTTCAATGGAGGGTTTCATTTTCTCCCTTAGTAGTCAGTCCCGTAAGTCAAGATAATTTTTTCCAAACATGAAAAACAATAACAATAATAATTGATTTTGCTTTCTCAAACCCCTTTTCCTACTAACCAACACCTCTAGGTTAATGACACTTCATAAAAGTCATCACGTACTCCTCTAGGTGCATTTTCTCCTTATTTTGTTATCTAGGAGGATTGGATGATAAATTTTTTGAAGTGCCAATAACAACTTTCTTATTGAAAACCCAAAGGGTTTTTTTTCAATCAATAATTATTCGTATTTAGCCACCCTAGAACTCCATCAATGACTTTAGATAATGTAGCATCTAAAATGCACCCTAAAAACCTTGTACGTTAATTAAGCCTCTTGTTCAATATCATTGTTCCTGTAGAATGATTTGAGTGAACACCAGCCATTGTCATAATAAACGAGAAATTATTGTATAGAAAGCCCACACAACCGTCATGATAGGCTTCAGAATAATGCTTGACTATGATTATTACTGCGAGTGCAACAATGAAGGATCTTGCAAATAAGTGAAAAAATTCCATGCTCCAAGTGCCCACCAAAATTGCCTCATGCTATGCTTGCTTTCTTCATGCTTATAATTTAACGCCTACTTTTTGTTTAGGTTGCTATTTGCTACAATGTTTTCATAGGTCCTTGAGATTTTGTATTGAGAGTACATTCATGTACTGGCTTCTTCTATTCTTCTCTAAGCAAGAACTCTCTCTATGGATTTGGATCCATTGAGCCACTATACTTTAGGTCTTTTGCCATTTCTAGCTAGTTGTTCATCAAAAAAATTAAATAAAAAGTTGGAAGTTAGCCCTTTCAAAAATGGAATGAATTGAACCTCTATGAATTTCGGCTTTTTCCCGCTTTTTATACATAATTCCCCTTGTTAGAGCATTTCTAGCGGGAGGGGCTAGCCCGGACAAGAGGCCCCCTAGGCTCCCAATGCCGTTTTCCAGTGCCCAATTCTTGCAAGGGCAAGTGCTGGGCTCCACCAGCCTAGGCTTCTGCCAAGGCAAGATGATTTAATGCTGACATCATTGTGACGTCAACAGCTAATTTAAATTTAAAAAAATTAAAGAAAAATGGAATTTTTTATTTATAAATACCTAGTCATATTCTTCATTTCCGACACCAAAATTCTATACAAATTCCTCTCCTCG